CCACAGTGGAGGGAGGCCGGGAGGGAGGTCCAGCCCTGAGGTGGAGGTGCAGAGGGGAAGGAGACAAGGCAGCAGAGTCAGGGTGACCTGCGCTAGCTCAGTGGCGAGAGGCGGAAGCCCTCCACAAATGCCGGGTGGCCCAGGTGGATACTCCTTGAGCAGCCTCCGAAGAGGCCAGTGAGGCAGCAGAGCCCAGCGCCATGGTCCAGAGGAAGGAGGCAGCCACCAGTCACCAAGGTGTGCGATGCCTCGATGCAAGGTGAGCATTCAGCCATGTTCACACCAGGTTCACAGGTGAACCCCAAGGTGCACAGACTGGACCACCACCTCCCCCATCACCTGGGGAATCCGCGAGGGGGCCAGACCCAGGCACATGGCCTCTGGGAGGCCCAGCTTGAGGGGGATTTTGTGAGTCTCTAGAGACCCAGAATGAGGCTAGCATGGGGGTCCCCTCAAGAGTGGTTCCCCGAAGAGAATGTCTCTATTTGGAGGAAGCGGGGACTTCTCCTTTCATGACATGAATGTCAGAGACTCTGGATTCCACGGTGACTAAGAGATGCCTGAGCCGGTGGGAGGAGTAAGAGCTTAAATACCAGGCCGCCTGTCCTCTGCCACTTGACACCTGGACCAGACACGCAGCAAGGCATGGCCAGCCTGCCGGCTCCACTTCTGGCTGCCCTTGTCCTCTTTTCCATGATGCTTCAGGCAACTGATGCAGGTGAGCCGGGGGGCCGGGGGGCCTTCCTCCTCGCCTCAAAAGAGCACTGGATCTCAGTGTGCCATTGGCTCTTGTGGCACTGGGGTGTGACCATGCTTCTTTGGGCCTTAGTTTACACATCTGTTAAATAGGAGTGTAAGGGGTGTTGGGAGGGAGAAGAGGCCTTCAAGGCCATAGCCAGAAGCCTGGGCTCTGCTCTCAGGTGAATCAGAGTCACAGCGGAGCTTTGGAAAGGAGAGAGGGGCATGAAGCCTTGGCCTCTAGGATCTGCCTCAGCTGGGTCAGGAGTTGGGTGGGGAGGGCTGGAGAGGTGGGTGTGCGGAGCCCCAGGGCCAGGCCTGAGTGGGGAAAGGCAGAACTGTGTGGAGTGCCTTCCCTGGGAAAACTGGTCCTGCCTTTCCACCACCCCAGCTTTGCTCAGTTCCATCCTTACCTGGGCTGTGGGTCCTCCTCACACATTACAGACCAACCCACTCTGGGCTGAGCCTGGGACTGAGCCCTGGAGTGGGGAAGCGGGCAGGCCAACCCATGCCGCACAGAGGTATTGGCTTTCTGTGTGCTTCCTGGGCTTTCAGAAAGCGTGAGTGCTCGCAGCGTCACTGTTACTCTCAGCAACTTGTTCAGAGCAGGAAACTGGGGGCTTGAAGATGTTACAGGATGCAGCCACAGTGGCCCAGCAACTCAGGATGGAGCAGGACCAGAGTCCAGGCCCATGTGACTGTCCCCACCTGGCACTTTGCTCTGGCTCTGCAGCAGCCTTGCTGAGTAACCTGGAGCAGGTGCTGCCCCTTTTCTGGACCGCAGCCTCACCGTTACCCAGTGAGACAGGCCAGCGGGGGGATGTGAGCTCAACAATCTTCCAGGTGTTATATTGGAAGCACTTGGCCAGGTGCAGTAGAGCACACCTGTAACCCCAGCTGCTCTGGATGCTGAGGCAGGAGGGTCATAAGCTCAAGGTCAGCCTGGGCAATGTGATGACAAAGAGAGACTCAGTCTCCACATAAAATTTAAGAAGGGATGAGGGTATAGAGTAGTTTAGAGCTCCCTAGTTCCCCTTACACACAAGAAAAGCACATGAAGTTTATAAGCCTGGTGCTAAGGCCCGAGTAGTAGTAACATTTAAGGCTCTGTGACTAGCTCAGAGGTTGAGACCCATCTAGAAGCTTATTGGACTTTTTGTTTTTGTTTTTGTTTCTGTTTGTTTTGTTTGAGATGGGGTCTTGCTGGCCTTGAATTCTCTGCGAGGCCCAGGCTGGCCTCAAATGCACAAAGATCTCCTGGCTTAGCCTCCCAAGTGCTGGGGTTACAGGCTTGCTCCATCACACCCACCTAGAAGCTTATTGTCAATGGTCATTTTGAATCTACCGCCTGCAGCAGACCCTCCTAGAGGGTGAACATTGAGGCCTTCAGAGCTTCTCCGGGCCCCAGTGTTAGGATTTTTGCTGGCCCAGAGTCTTCTGGTCGCTACCCTTCCCATGGGGACAGAAACTTCCATGGGGACTGGAAGGCCCCAGGTCAGGGGTTGCGGCCGAGGGTGACCCTCTGTTCCCTGCCCCCAGGTCCCTATGGAGCCAACGTAGAGGACAGCATCTGCTGCCGGGACTTTGTGCGCTACCCCCTGCCACCAAGTGTGGTGAAGGACTTCTACTGGACCTCGGAGTCCTGCCGCAGGCCTGGTGTCGTGTGAGTAGGGAGCCGGCCACCAGGCTGTGGTGGGTGTAGCCTGGGGTGGCCGCAGAGCTGGAGGGTGGGGCAGACCTGGGGTGGGAGGAGCGGATGGCTGGACCTCTGCTTGGAGGCTTGGCCAGAAGAGACAGCTGTGTCCTAGCACGAGTATTCCAAGAACAGAAAGAATGGGCTAGGTCACTGGACAAATGTGATTGGATGCCTACCATGTGCCAGGCAGCTGGCCAGGCTCTGAAGCCACAGAGCTGAACGCACGAGGTGCCGCCCAGTGTGGGCACGGCAGCGTGGGCAGTGTGTAGTCACAGGCTATTGGCTACAGGCTGGTGGGCCGGTATGGGCTGTCTGCCTGCTGCCCCCGCTGCTGCCACAAGCATCTTAGTCCTGTCTGGTGTTCTGGGGATTATTTGAGGAAGCCCATTTGGATCAGAAGAGTAATACAGAGAGTGCTTGCTATGTGATAGTCACTGTGGTCAGCCCTTTAGAAACATGAGCTCCTGTATCCTAGAGGCAGCCCTGCGTGGTATCACTCGATCTGCTTTTCACAGTGAGGGGTCAGCGCGGAGGGGTCAAGGGCAGCAGAATAGCAAGTGGGAGGCAAAGCACTCACTAGGTGGCACACAGTAGGTGGCTGCCAAAAGCATGCATGACCCTTGCATTCTGAGCTGGACAGCACTTTAGAGAGAATGTGGCTTGACAAAAAGGGAGACGGAGGCTCTGGGAGGGATGGTGTTTTGCCCATCGACTGCAGAGGCCAGGGTGGGTGGGTGGCCTGCAGCGCTGATTCCATGTTTTGTTTGCTGGTCATCCATGTGGTAGGGGCACCCAGGGGACGAGGGGATACCAGAGTCAAGGGTCCCACTGTCAGGCTCCAGAGAGGTAGAGGCACGAAGGGTGTCCAAGAGTGTGGACATGGGTCTGACCCCAGGTGGCCCTCAACCTGCTCTGGTCAGCAGCAACTCAGGTGCCCTGGGCCCGTGGGGTGAAGGCAGGAGCTACACCTACAGCTTGCTGCTTAGTCCGGAGCTGGTGTCTGCCTCTCCTCCCATGCAGGGTTTGGGGGATGGGACATTCTTTGGGGGCCCTGCCCAGGACAGTCTGGGGTCCCCGCCTGGTGCTCAGATCTCACCAGGCCTGCTACTCGCGCAAGCTACTTTGCCGGTGTGGGCCTCGGTGTCCTTAGCTATACAATGAAGTGAATAATAGGGCCTATAAGTGGGCTGAATATAAGGATTAAGGAAATCCACATCAAGAGCTCGGGCGAGCTCCTGGCACAATTACATAGCCCCTCCTGTGTGCTGTAGAACTTAATGGCATCTATTTATTTGGGGCTTTAGTGCGTATTAGCACAGCAATGAGTTAGACTGTGATTACCACTTTCATTTTACCGGTGTGGAAACCAGGCTCAGATAAGTTCAACAACTTGATAGTAAGGGGCAGAGCTAGCGTTGGCACCCCAGCGGTTGGCGCCAAAGTCTGTGTTTTTGACCACCGCCCAATCCTCTCTTCCCCAAGACAGTGACAGTGACATTATGAGACTACTAGGGACTCAGAACCATGGCCTGACTGAGTTCCTAGCACTCTAGACTGGAGTTGGGGACCTGACGACTGTGGAATTCTGTGGGGTCCTGGAGGAGCCTTGCTGTTCCCAGCCGCTTGCTCCCCTTGAGCAATGGGTTTGCACACAGCAGGTGGCTTCTGACTGCTGAACTGCTCCACACAGCAGATGCTCCTGCTTGCAGCAGGTGGCTAAGCTGCTGCACACAGTAGATGGCTTGTATGCTCTGCACCATCCTACAAAGCAGGGGTTCTGACATACAGGCAGTGACTCTCGTATGCTGCAGCCCTGCATACACGTCCCTGCTGGAAGCTAATGCTGACGCATCTTCCTGCCCCTCCCCCTCCAGCTTGCAAACCATCAAGAACCGGGACATCTGTGCTAACCCCAAACTGCCCTGGGTGAAGAAGATTCTCGAGAAGCTGCGCCCATGAGGAGGCACCATGGCGACCGTGGCCTTGGCCTCTCTAGGAAGGCTCGCCAAGCCCTACCTCTCCACCCTTGCAGCTGCTCCCCGGAGAAGCCTGGGCCAGTCACTTTCTCTGCGCCCTCTCATCTCCGTCCCCACAGCTCTCACCCTCTGCTGGGCTTCCCTGCAGGCCCCTCCAGCCCCTCCTCACCCCACTGCAGCCAGGGTCCCTATCCTAATAAGCTGCTTCCTGGCTCCCACTGCTCTCCAAGAGGTCAGACCTGCACCTGGCCCCAACCCTTCAGATCTGGGTGCCCTCCTTGTGCCCAGCCCCTCCCCCTCTGTTCCTACATGGTGGGCTCCAGCTTCCCATTCTTCCAAGCATTTGTACTTTGGGGTTGTTCAGGGCCATGCCTGCTACCTGCACATGTCCCCCCACTCCCAGGGTTTGCTCAGCTCAACTGACCAAGACATGTTTTTAAACTTCCCTGACTCTGCCTACTCCTATCAGGTATGACCCAGTCTGTTCAGAATTTTCAGGATTTAGAGACCCATCCTGCAGCCCCACTGCTTAGACCCAGGTCCTCCTCATACTCTTATCTCCTGGCCTTCAGCACAGAGCACAGAGTCCAGGGCCTGACTCAGAATCAGAGCTCTGTGAGGGGCTACAGACTGAATCAATGATAGTAATGTGTCCTCCTCCTCCAAGAAAAAGAGGGTGCATACTTCTCAGTACAGCGATCCATGTCACTAGGAAGGACAAGCTGAGTCAATTGTGAATTCCAAATTGGCCAGACTCACCTGTCTTCCCCATTTTAGCTATGTGTTGGTTATTTTTGCCCTTTTTCTTTCTCAAATATATTAGTCTTCCAACCTCCAGCATTCAGGCCTGATCTCTTCAGAATTCACCCCAGTCCACGCCCTGCCTCCTTTCTTCAACAGCTGATAATTCAGTTGAATTCATGCCCAGGTGTTGGTGGTGACCCTGGCTTGGCACTACTATAAGCTGCATTTTATTTATATCTGAAAAGAGGGTAATTAGTTAAGAGGTCAAGTGATAAATGGGAGAACTGAGGAACTTGTGGGAGGGGACAAAGTGATACTTTCCTGGCCCTGGGAGGCAGCAGGCTATGACGGGATGGCTGTGTTTGTGAAGGAGCCTGAGAAAACTTGTTCTGGGGTGTTTGGGGCCAGGCTAAGCATCGGGACTTGGGACAGCAGTATCCCAGATAAAAGGAATAAACTGACAGTGCTTGCTCCTTTCTGAGGATGCCTGGTGCTGCTCAGTGGGGTGGCTGGAACCATCAGACCCTAAGAAGACCGTGTCACTTCTCCAAGCCTCATGTGACAAACAAAGATGAGAACAGCCACCTCACGGTTACTGAGAGGCTTAGGTCCAAAATGCACCTTGTGCCTGCCATGTAACTCTGGGTCTTTCAGGCCTGTGTCCCTCACCTGCTCACTGCCTATGAACGGAGTCCCCTCTTGTCCCTCAGGCTTTCTGGAAAATAAATCCTCTTAAACAGTGTGTGCATTGCTTCCTTGACATTTGTGGTCCCTGTGATATGGAGCAAGGGACACCACAGCCCCCTTCCTCCCCCACTGGGGGGGACACTTAAACAGGAGATAGATTGCCCAAGGTCACTCCATGATGGACATCAAAGTCTGGGGCTGCCACACAGGTGCCATAGGGAGGTCCGGGCAGGGGCCCCAGAGCTCCTCCCCACCAACCTGGCCCAACTCAGGTCCTGCTATCCACAAGACCTGGAAAGACCCTGGGTCTCGTGCCTGAGGCTGCAGCATATTAATTCACTAGCTCAATCTAAACTTCCCTTTCAAGGGTGGATGCCAGGAGAGAGGGGGAAGAATTGGTCAGGAAAGTCTACGTCCTTTGACAAACAACTCCAAATCTCAGGAGCTCAGCACAACAGAAATGTTTCCTTCCCACATCATGTCAAAGCCAGCATTCCTGGTCTACAGGCAGCTGTCCATGTGCTCATTTCAGGGACCTGGACTCTTTCCTTCCCATGGCTGCTGAGTTAGTCAGCTTTCTGTTGTTACAATAAAATGTTTGAGAAAATACACTTACTAGAGGAAAAGGTTCATTTTGACTGAGTTTCAGGAGTTTCAGCCCACAGTTTCTGGGTTGTCAGAAGCCGCCCTTTCTGGCGGCACAGCACATCACTGAATAGGCATGTGGCAGAGGGGACCTGTGTTCCTTCTGGTGGCCGAGAAGCAGGGATAGAGAGAAGAAGGGAAAAGGCTGAGATCACAGTATGCCCTTCAGGGAAACACCCTCCCCCCATGACCTCACTCACTCCCAGGAGGAAGGTTCTACCTTGCTCTACCTTTGCAGAGTACTGGGGGCTGCAGACCAAGCCTGCAAGCTGGAGGCCTTTGGAGATATCTCCAAACCACAGAAGACACTCCCCTCTACAGTGTGAACTCCTCCAACACCTGCAGATGGGCAAAAAAGGTGGACGATTGTGGAAAGATGTGACAAGCCCAGCCAGGGGTCACCCATTCTGCCACATGCCATTGAGCACCATGTCTGCAAGAGATGCTAGGAAATAGAGCCAGACTTTGTCTAGGAGGAAGAGGAGGGAGGTTCCAGAGCACCTGGTTCACCTGGTGTTGAACTCTCACGGTGGTGTTAACCCTCCTTGGGCTGCCACCCTTCTGACACAGCTTCTCTGCCCAGACAATAAAACAGGAGCCCTCTGCCCTTGGGTGTCTTCACTACTTCCTGAATGTAGGCACCTATTTCACGCACATCTTGTCACATGTGCCCTTTGTTCCCTTTCTTATCTGCCTTGCAATGGAATTTCCAGGGCCCTAGCTCTGATATGCAGTGTGAATGCCAGGAATAATGGAATGGCACATACAGTAGATTTAGACAGATAGGAGAACTCTCCCTGATTGTCGATTGGAGCAAGGTTTATCTTGTTGAGCCATGGTTTTCCTCTATGTAAACAAGAGGCAAAAAAGCATACATCAATATGAGTAGCTGTGAGAATCCCAAGAGACAAAGAACAGCTCAGTAACTAACTGGACAAAAGGCTTGACTAGCTCTTAAGAAAATATCCAAATAGCCAACAGACACACATGAGGGTACATATTTTTTATTTGCTTTCTTGACAATGGAATTTCTTCCACTGAGCCATCTCCCTGGCTCTGACAATGGAATTTCTTGATGGAATTAAAGGGTAAAAGAACCCTTCTACATTGTTGGTGGGAACGTAACCTGGTATAACTACTATAGAAATCAGTACAGAGATTCCTCAAAAAACTAAAACTAAAAATTCCACTTGAGGCAACCCATTTGAGGCCCCTCTTGTCTCTCAGAAGCTATTCCTATTCTTCAATAAATTTCTGTACTCTCTTTTTTTTCTCATTAAACTTTGTTTTAATGGGTCTCAAAATTCTGTGACAGATTTTTGGTCAAGTTGTTTCCATTAAAAAGTATTGATTTTAAAAACTAATAACTTAAAAACTGCCACACACACCAAAAAAAATGGTCCACAAAACATTCTCCTTTCCTTCTGAAGGTGCACTATTGTCATTAACCAGTCTTTCACTATTAAACTTAAATGGCCACTTGGGAGAAACAGTTCTGAGACCAGTCTTCTGCCACTGATTAAGACTGGGGTGGCAGGTGGCAGGGATAATATTCATTTAGCCTTCTGAGCTTTCTGGGAAGACTTGGTGACCTTGCCAGCTACTTCCATTGGTGGGTCATTTTTGCTGTCACCAGCCACAATGCCATGCCAGACCTCTTTGACAGACACGTTCTTGACATTGAAGCCCACATTGTCCCCAGGAAGAGCTTCACTCAAAGCTTCATAGTGCATTTCAACAGGCTTGACTTCAGTTGTGATGTTGACTAGAGCAAAGGTGGCCATCATGCCAGGTTTGAGAACACCAGTCTCCACTCAGCCCACAGGGACAGTGCTGATACCACCAATTTCGTAGACATCCTGGAGGGGCAGCCGCAAAGGCTTGTCAGTTGGATGAGTGGGTGGGAGGATGCAATCCAAAGCTTCAAGCAGTGTGGTTCTTCTGGCATTGCCATCTTTGCAAGTGACCTTCCATCCTTTGAACCAAGGCATGTTAGCACTTGGCTCCAGCATGTTGTCACCATTCCAACCAGAAACTGGCACAAAAGCTACAGTGTCAGGGTTGTAGCTGATTTTCTTAATGTAGGTGCTGACTTTCTTAACAATTTCCTCGTATCTCGTCTGGCTGTAGGGTGGCTCTGGAATCCATTTTGTTAACTCGAACAATTAATTGTTTCACACCCTGTGTGTAAGCCAGAAGGGCATGCTCATGGGTCTGCCCATTCATGGAGATAGCAGGCTTCGAATTCACCAACACCAGCAGCAGCAATCAGGACAGCACAGTCAGTCTGAGATGTGCCTGTAATCATGTTTTGATGAAGTCTCTATGTCCAGCAGCATCAGTGATGGTCACATAATACTTGCTGGTCTCAAATTTCTACACAGAGATGTCAATGGAGATACCACACTTGTGCTCATCTTTCAGCTTGTCCAGCACCCAGGCATACTTGAAGGAACTCTTCCCTATCGCAGCAGCCTCCTTCTCAAATTTTTCAATGGTCCTTTTGTCGATGCCACCACATTAGACAGCTGGTGGTGGTGGACTTGCCGGAGTCCACATGTCCGATGATGACGATAGAAATGTAAGTCTTTGCCTTTCCCATGTTGGCTTGGATTTAGTGTTGGCTTTCACTACACCTGTGTTCTTGCAGCAAACACGTTGCAAAAAAGAAATTTCTCTACTCTGAAAAAAAAGGAATTCCATTTGACCCAACTCTTCCCCTTCTAGGTCTCTTCCTGAAAGAATTAAAGAGATCATATTACAGTGACCCACACCCATGTTTATAGCAGCACATCTCATAATAACTACACGTTGGAAACAGCCCGGATGTCCACTAACAGATGAATGCATAAGTACAGTGCGGTATTTACACACAGAGGAGCACACTACTCTGCTATAAAGAAAGATAAACTTGAGTCAATTGTAGGAAAATGTATGCACCTTGAGACTGTAATATTAAGTAAAATAAATCAGACACATAAGCTGAAATATTGTGTGATTTCTCTTATGAGAAACCTAAAGTACAAATAGAGAGCAAAATAAAGGGTAGATGACAGGAAGTTGGCAGATCCTTCTCAAATGGGAGGGGAATCTAGATGCAGGGAGCCTCTCTGCTCCTTTACGTCTGCTGACAGCCGTTCTTCCCATGCAGCCAGCAGCAATCTAGACAAGATGGTGAAGGTCGGAGTGAACAGATTTGGCCATATTGGATATGGTCACCAGGGCTGCTTTTAACTCTGGCAAGGTGGATGTTGTGGCCATCAATGACCCCTTCATTGACCTCAACTACATGTTCCAGTACAATTCCACCCCTGGCAAGCTCCATGGCATTGCCAGGGCTGAGAATGGGAAGCTCGTCATCAATGGAAAGGCCATCACCATCTTCCAAGAGTGAGATCCCGCCAACATCAAGTGGGGTGATGCTGGCACTGAGCATGTGGTGGAGTCCACTGGTGTCCTCACCACCATGGAGAAGGCCAGGGCTCACCTGAAGGGTGGTGCCAAGGGGTCACCATCTCTTCCCCTTCTACCGATGCCCCCATGTTTGTGATGGGTGTGAATCACAAGTATGGCAACTCCCTCAAGATCGTTAGCAACACTTCCTGTACCACCAACTGCTCAGCCCCACTGGCCAAGGTCACCCAGGACAACTTCAGCATTGTGGAGGGACTCATGACCACAGTGAACGCCATCACTGTCACCCAGAAGACTGTGGATAGCCCCTCTGAGAAGCTGTGGCATGATGGCCGCGGGGCTGCCCAGAACATCATCCTTGCATCCATTGGCGCTGCCAAGGCTGTGGGCAAGGTCATCCCGGAGCTGAGTGGGAAGCTCACAGACATGGCCTTCCATGTGTCCACTCCCAACGTGTCAGTGGTGGATCTGACCTGCTGCCTGGAGAAAGCGGCTAATCACAGCAACATCAAGGAGGTGGTGAAGCAGGTGTCAGATGGTCCCCTCAAAGGCATCCTGAGCTACAACCAGGTTGTGTCTTGCAACTTCAACAGTGACACCCACTTTTCCACCTTTGATGCTGGGGTGGAATGACCACTTTGTCAAGCTCATTTCCTAGAATGACAGTGAGTTCGGCTACAGCAACATGGTTGTGGGCCTCATGGTCCACATGGCCTCCAAGGAGTAAGTGGCCCCCACTACATCCCAGAGAGACCAGAGGGACGGAGAGGCCATACTGTAGAAGTCACTGCCCTACACGGAGAATCTCCTCTCACAGCTTCCATCCCAGGCCCCCTAGAAGGGGAGGAGCCTTGGGAGCCCTGGCTCACTGCCACTGCACACCATCAATAAAGCCCACTGTACCCCCCCAAAAAAATAGATGGAGAGAGGAAGAAGGAGAAAGGAAGAAAAAAAATAATATGTGTGATGTACATTCACCAACTCCACACAAGGAATGGAAACATTATCTATCTACTGCAAACACATACCAACAAAATTGAAAACTTAAAAAAGAAGATAGCAACTGCAGTAATCATTGCCAAAATGCAAACAAAGACCACAATAAGATAAAACTTTCCATCCGGTAGGATGGCTATTATGTAAACAAAACATAGAAAACAACAAGAGTTGGCAAGAACGCGGCAAAATTGGAACCTGGATCTCTGCTAGTGGGAATATAAAAAGTTGCAGCTGTGGTGGCAAACAGTACAGTAGGTCAAGAAATCGGACAGACTGAGGCAAGGTGATCCCAAGTTTCAGCCTAGCTTGGCAACCTAGCAAGAGACTGTCTCAAAAGTTAAAAAAAAAAAAAAAAAAAGGCTGGGGATATTGAGGAAGGCAGCAAAGACCCTCATTTCAACCTCCAGGACCACAAAATAAACAAATAAATAAATAGAATTTCCACGCGATCCAGTGATTCCACTTGCAGAAGCATATATCAAAGCATTGGGAGCAGGGGCTCAACGAGAGGAGAGCACCCAGGCTCATAGCTGCCTTTTGCACAGAAGCCAAAGTGTGGGAAAGGACCGCGTGTCCACAGACAGATGAATGGTCGCTGTGGTCTGCGAAGACAAAGGAATATTTCTCAGCCTTGGAAATGAAGGGGAATCTGACGTATGGAACCACATGCACACATCCTGAGGATGTCATGCTCAGGGCAAGAAGCCAGCCACAGAAGGACAAATACTGTAGGTTTCTATGTTCAGGGGTTGCCTGGAGTAGCTGATATTGCACAAGAAATTAATAGCATGGTAGCTGTGAGGATCTGGGGGGAGGTCAAATGGAGTGTCACTGTGTAACGGGACAGGGTTTCACTTTGGAAGATAGAATCTTTCTGGTGATAGAATGTGGTAATAGCTGCACAACATGAGTGTATTTAATACCACTGAACTGCATGCTCAAAATGGTTAAGATGATATTTTTATGCATATTTTGTTCCATAAAAAAGGGTGATGCCAGGCATGGGGGACAAGCTGAGTGCATTAGGGCAGCCTTCCTGACTGGTCAGAAAAGGGGAGCTGGGTGGAGTAGGACTGGAAGGGAGGGTGATGCAAAGCTGTCCCCTCTGGTGATGGTGGGAGGGTCATCTCATCCCTTCTTCCTCCCCAAACCCTGTAGGAACACCCCGGGCTCCTGCACTCTCCATCCCACAACTACTAGTGTTCCGCTTCTGGAACATGGGGGGTCGCCTCCTGTCACCCAAGCACAGCACCATGTCCCAGACAGGGCCCCAGCCCTCAGAGGGCTGTGAAAAGTATAGGTAGGGAAATCCCCACCCCCTAGTCCCACTCCCAAGCCTTCCTCCTATGTTCCAGTGCAGTTCACTTCTCTAATTGCTGCTGTAGCTCAAAGCCCTCCCAGCTCTGCTCCACTTTCTTTGCTGCTCAACTTCAAAATTCTCTCTGTTGTCATGCAGCTTCAACCTCTCTTTGGCCTCCCTCCCTTGGAGCCAGTGGCACCAGACCATGCCCATGCTCTCTGGGTCCCTGCCCCCTACTTGAGGTGGGCTTTTCCCTCTGCCTGGAATGATCCAGCAAATCCTGCCTCCACACGTGTTGCAGGGTCTGCAGAAGTCACAAAGTATAATACTTCCTTGGGAAGGGTTATAAGTCATCTATGCACCCATCCATTCCAAACAGCGGAGCAATCTGCAGTGTGCAACTCCCCTCAACAGGGACAAGTGCCAGTGACAAGTGAGTATAATTACCCAACAGGTCTTTGCTGCAGAGTGTAGCCTGGGGCTAATCCAGTTTGGGGATCTAACTTCTGGGTTGCAGGAAATGCATAGGATAGATAAACAAATCAGATGACTCACACTAAATAAAGAATGAGAACACTGTATTACACAATGGTGTTGACTCTTCAAAAGGTCAGGATCAGCCAGTGTCTGTAATTTTATCTATTTGGGAGGCTGATCTATGAGGTTCACAAGTATGAGACTATCCTGGGCAATTTAGCAAGAACTGGTCTCTAAATAAAAATAAATTAAATAAATAAATAGACGGACCAACTGACAGAGATAGGTAGAGCTGGGAATGTGGCATGGAAGCCATACCCACAAAAAGGTTCACGATTATCGGAAAATGATCAGGTGGTCTGAAAAGACTGAAAAGGAACAACCATGTGCCTCATGAGCCTAGGTTGGGTGGTCTGAAATGTAAATAGAACCAAAATTCCTCTGGTCCTATTGGGATTGAAGCAGCCTCTCTCTTGTGGCCCCTGGTTCCTGAAACCTCGGAGTTCTAGAGTATTGCGGGAACTCCTGGGCGCAAGGGCTTTTCAGCTCGTTTGCTTCAGGATGGCCCTGTGCCCAGCACCAAGCACACGCCGAGGCTCCATAACAAACTCCAGGGGCACCCATGTGCCAGCACAGTGAATGTCCCTAGTTTTCCTCAGTCCCTTAGAGGTTTGGTTTCGTGGCCATTAGCTGCCGGGTTACAGGGAGGGAGACTGAGGCATGCACTGAGAGGCCAAGTAACTCGCCCAAGGCAATGTCCTTTGCAAGTGGCGCAGTTACAATTTGCTACCAGGTCTGATTACTGGGTCCAAGTTTAATCTCTATTCAGTTAGTCCTGACAAGAGAAGTGGACATGGTCATTCTGATTTTCATCTAGGGGGAGCTGGGCCTGGAACTAGTGGGGATGATCCCAAGGTGGAAAGAGGACAAACAGAGGTTTTGGTATCAGACACTATCTGGGCCCAGTGGGGCAAGGAGTGGTGGTGTAGCCTGGGGGGTTCTGGCTCCTTGTGGGACAAATCCAGGCCTTTCACTCCTTGATGATCTTCAGGAAGTTTCTTAGCTTCCACAGGACTATTTTTCCCCATTTGCAAAACAGACTATGACAGTGGTATTTTATACCCTGGTTTTGTTGTGGTGATTTATGTACATTAACCATGACAAGCACAGAGTTCTTGGTTGTTTGGTGTGGTGCTGAGGGTAGAATCCAAGGGCCGCATACCCATTAGGTACCAGCTCCATGGCACCTGTCTCAAGGAAGTGCTTTCAGTGCCCCGTCAGATCCAGTGAGTGTGACTGGGCCCTCCCCACTTTCCAGAGAGGAAATGTAGCCTCAGGGATCAGAGAAGCTGTGTAGCACCCCACAGCTGATGGAAGTGCCAGAGCCAGCTGTCTGATTCTAAACCCTGCTTTCTGCATGTTTTCGCAAGCTCAGCCTGGGGCCAGGGCCAGTAGGATCTCTACTCCCAAATTTTGTCCGTATTGGAAACATCACACCACAGTGATGTATGTGTGCCTATGTTTATAGCAGCACAATTTGTCATAGCTAAATCTTGGGAACAACCCAAATGCCCATCAACTGAAGAACGGGTAAAAAATATTATACAGTGGAGTATTACTCAGTTATAAGGAAAGATAGACTTGAGGCTTTTATAAGTAAATGGAATGCAACTAGAGGCCATACTCATAAGTGAAATAAATCAGACCCACACGTGTAAACATATTTGTCTCACTACCATAAGAACCTCAAAGAATAAACAAAATCTGAAATGTACAGTAGATATAGTAAGAGGGAAAGAAACTGCTCAAAAGGAAAGAACAATTGGATGAGGGAAAGGAGAAAAGAAGGAAAGGGGGAAATGTATGTATGTATGTAAGCAAGATAGGATTAGTGTACTACTAATTTGCATTGGGTTTTTTGAAGGGAGCAGTTAATGCTTAAAATTTTTATTTTGACCAATTTTACTCATTCCTGTCTGGTGATGTGAGCAACTACTTTGAAGACAATAATGTGCAATATACCACCCTTGTCGAATTCCTATCTTGTTTTTTTTTTTAATTCTGCATCATTTCTAATGTTTTACCTATTATTTTTATTCTCTTTAAAGTAAAAATTTAATTAAAAAATAATTGTCCTAGTTAGGGAACAACAACAAAACAATGCTCCCCATGGCCCTCTCCTCTTCCCCCACCGTCTGTCCTCCCCCTCACTCACTCGCCCTTTTCCTCTGTTCCCTTCCTCTCTCCCCCTCCTCCTTCGCTCTCTTCCTGCTGTTCTGACACGCCGCCAGAGCGCAGAGCGTCTACACCTGCGTCTCTGTCCCTCCTTAGTCCCTAATTTGGGTCCATTACCCCAGCCTTAAAAGGAGCCATTCTTTGGGTAGCGGAACTGGGCGCTTTCCAGTTTCCCACCTGCGTTGGTTGGGGCAGGGCTGAATGTCGCCAGGGAACGTTGACCTGTGGTGGGGGAGGTCCCCCTTGTGAGGAGCGGCCAGCCTCCCAGCCCACAGCCCCCGTGGCCAGGTGCGCCTGGGCGTGGTGGCTCGGGATAGGTAGCAGCACCCAGGCCGCTGTCACTGCACATCCATCATGGACTGGCTAGCTTCATAGTCAGCGCAGCTTCATAGTCAGCGCCACTGGTCCCCAGATAAGCTGTGCGCCTCTGGCTCGCCGCAGCCCAGAGAGATGGAGTTCAGTGCGGCTCACTCCTGGTGAGGACACTGCTCTCCAGGTCCAGATTCCCAAGAGTGCTGATCCTTCTGGGTAGATTAGCAGGGTTCCCTCTGAGGGCTGGCAGGGGTCAGAGCTGGGATAGGAGAAGATGCAAGGCAGGAAAGGAGGCTGGGAGCCTGTGTGTGGGGGGGGTGCTCTCTGCTGCAATCGAAGCCATCACAGACCCTGCTTACCCCTCCTCTGTAGCCATGGGAGGTGGGTCCCCCATCCCGAGGAACGGTACAACCCAGAGAGGTTCCCAGCACCTGTCTGGGCCTCAGTTTCCCCATCTAGTCATACAAAGTGGAAATGGGCCACTCAGCAAACCCTGCACTGAGCTTCCATTCTTGGCCATGTGTTGCCCTGGGCTCAGGAGATGTGTGCCTGGAGACCCCGTAGCTCCCAGTGCAGGGCTTGGGATCCTAAGGGATGAAGGTTTGGGTTCATCACCGCGAGGGAGAGAGACCTTTCTCTGTCATGAAGAGCCTGCCAGACTCAGGCTGGGGACCAGCATTCTGTCTCTCAGCCTCCTGGGTGTATTTGCTCATTGTCCACGTAGAAGCCAGGTTCCCAAGGGAGGCGCCTGTGCGCAGGGGAGGAGGCTTGGTCCTTTGAACCCTGGCAGTTCCCTGGCTGGCAGAACGCTGGACGGTAAGCAGCCAGCCGGCTGGGCTCAGACCCCTGCAGCGGCCCCTCCCCAGCGGAGCGGTCGGTTCCTTGGCAACATCTCCAGGAATCCAGCGCCAGGCTCAGGCTCGCTTCCTCTCCCCTCCCACCGCCTGCCTGCAGGGCTGGGGGCGGAGGCAGAGAGCCCATTATAAGAAACTCGAGCCCATTCCAAGAAGCAGCGACGGAACCGGCTGCCTAAGGACAGCACAGAGCTCCCCCGGAGGCGCCAGCCTCAGCCTCCTGCCCGGGCCCCTGCGCAGGCCCTCACCCACCCCAGCGATAAGCGATGGCTCCCACACCTCTGTCGTGGCTGCTGCGCCTGGCTGTGCTCTGCCATCTGACGGTCCTGCTGGCTGGTGAGTGGGCATGACTTGGGCACGAGCTGTCAGGGTAGCCACCTTGCCTCTGTCCTCGGGCTTGACAGCAGGTCCCTGACCCACCTGGGGAAAGCGGAGAGGGACGTGTGGGAGGGGGCTGGGGAGTGTCCCTGCCTGGCTAGGTGGGCAAGGTAGCCGCTTACAGCAGCATGGAGGGGGTGTGGATGGCACAGTGTGCCAGGTATGGCACCAGGCAGGTGGGGGTTCAGGGAGCCTGAGGGAGCTTCCAGGGGGGAACAGGGTGGGACAGCCTCCCACCCAGGGTTAATGTGTAGCATTCATCCCTGGGCTGGGGCCAGGGATAGTAGGAATTTCTGTTCCCCTGACATCAAGGCCCCCAAGAGTAGGGGACCAAAGATAGTGAAGGTCAAGGTCACCTCAGCTCAAGAATGGGGCCTGTTGCTGTGGGGCTGGTCTGGCGCTCCAGCCCCTCCGTCTGTGCCTCTCCCATCATGCTGTCTTCCTCCTCCACACACAGCTTCCAAATTGCTTTCTGCTTCCTGCCCCTTGCTTCCCAGTGCCAGGACCTCGTAGGATCAGGAGTAGCCATCCCACCTGACATGGGTAAGACGGAGGTCTAGAGAGGATCAGAAACTGGCCTGAGGATGCACAGCCAGTAGGTAGGACCGGAGGATGAGATCTGGTGAACTCAACGCAGGAGAAAAAGCAAAGATTCATACACACCAGTTCTGTGGGTGCCCTACATCCACACACCCCTAGAGTCAGCCCCAGCCTCAGGGAGCATCTGGCTACCTGGCAGGCTGACTCTCAGAGAGGGGGGCCCTTTGCCTTGTGGCACACAGCAAATCTAGAAGAATGGAAACCAGTCCCCAGCTTGCAGGCTGTCTCCATAGGGCAGGCTCCAGAGTGGGATGGGAGCAGGAGGGGGAGTGGGTGGGCAGGTGGGTGGGGGAAGCAGTTGGTGCATGCTCCCTCTTCTCTGACCTGTGACCAGAGGCCTGAGGTGTTTGGGAACAGTAAGCGCTGGGAGATGGGGGATCAGGTGGAGCTTGCTTTGCTATCACTTTGCTGTGTGTCCCTGAGCAGGAACTTGCCTTCTCTGGTCCCAGCTTCTGCACCTTTAAATATAGCTATTGTCTCCTTGGTGATGGGCTCTACCATCTATGAGGGCATTTGGGGAGAGGAAAGGGAGAGAAAAGGAGAGCTCCTTTTACTAAGCCAGTGGGGGGAAACTCAGTGCGGAGTGGAGAGGGCACCCTGAGGGCTTTGATTAGCAGCTTTAGTGAACTGCCCTAGTGGTGGCCATTGACTTTGCTGGGAGATACTGGGCCCTGTTGCAGCCTTTCTGAACCTGGATTTCTCCTCCTATAAAACTGGGCATTCAACCAGGCCTGCCTGGGAGGGCTCCCCAGCAGGGGGCTGGTGTAGGCTGGCTGCATCAGCTCCCAAATGTGGGTCTATAGGGCCACATGAGGTGGGTGGTGCTTTATGTAACGAACCTACAGATGCAAGTCAGAGCGCGAGATTCCTCTCCCTGAGCACTGACGCACTCACTCCCACTCAAGTCCCAGCCAGAGAGAGAGAGAAGGAGGGAAAGAGAAAAGGATGGAGAAAGAGAGAGAGAAAGAGAGAGAGAGAGAGAGAGAGAGAGAGAGAGAGAGAGACAGAGACAGAGACAGAGACAGAGACAGAGACAGAGATATCTGCTTTAAGCCACAGATCCAGGCCCTCCTGGATTCAAATGGAAACCCCTTATGTCTCTATTGATGAGGCCACTTGTGTCACCCAGCACCTGCCTGTGCATCTTGTCCATCTGTGTAATGCAGCACAGGCTTGGGATGCCTGCTATGTGACAAGCCCGTGTCCTCATTGGTGGATAAAAGGGCTAACGATCCCGGTCCTTGAGCTATGAGATTCCACTGCAGATGGCAGTCAGTACACAACACAAATCAGTAAAGGATCTGGTCTGCTAGAAAGGAAAAGGCACTGCGGTTAAAAAATAACAATAATAAAGTAGAAAAGTGGGAAGCTGTGGCTGTTTAATGGGGGTCAGGGAGGCCTCCCTGAGCAGATGGTGCCCGCAGTTTGCAGGAGCCAGGGAGTGGCCGTGAGTGTGGCTTAGGAAACCGGCCTGAAGGGACATCTGGCAGTCTCTGGAGACATTTTTGGTTGTTCCAAAGGTCCTAGTATTTCTGGTCTGGTGTGGCTACTGACATCTATTCAGGTAGCGACCTGTGGTGCACAGGACGGTCCTCCATGACAAAGAACTATCTGACTCAGAGAGTCGGTAGTGTCCCTGCTAAGGGACCCTGCTTAAGGAAAAACAAAAAAATGCTTGGATGTTAAAACAAAAACAAAATCAACAAAAACAAAAGAAGTTCATTGTTTGCAGGCTTGGTGACACATACCAAATTCAGAAGGTAGAGGCAAGATTGCTATCAGTTTGAGGCTGGCTTGGACTATATAGTGCATTCAGGGCCAGCCTGGACCATCTGGCCAGACCTTATCTCAAAAAACAAACAAAATGAACAATTGTGTGCATGGTGGTATACACCTATGATCTCAGCTGAAGCAGGGAAGCTGAAGCAGAGCGAGTCCCAAATTTGACCCAGATTGGAAAACTTAGCAACTGAGGTCCTCCATGACAAAGAACTATCTGACTCAGAGAGGGTACTGAGGGTAGTTTGCATGTGCTGAGCATAAGTTCCTACCCCTACTAGCTGCTCCTTGTCTCAAAATAAAAATAAATAAATAAATAAATAAATAAATAAATAAAGGGGCTGGGATATAGCTCACTCCTTGTTCAATCCCCAGAACCAGAAAAAAAATTCTTTTACTCTGTGAAACAGGTATTCTATCCATTTTACAGGTAAGGAAACTGAGGCCTGAGCAGCTTGCTCAGGACACTCAGCTGAATAAAGGCACAAGCCCTCTCAGCACCTCACTCAGGGAATCAGGACATTGCCACCTGTAAGCTTCGTGCCAGTCCTTGGCCAATCTAAGGGACACCTCCTCTTAGAAGCCTCCCTTGATCTCACTCTGTTGCAAGCCCTTTTATCTCTTCTTCACGTAAAATCCCAGTATGTTTGCCAAATATTCCAGAACAAGGTGTTTCTACAGGTTCTGTGCCAACCTAGAATACTAGGATATCTAGGAGCTGGGTGGAAAGTAGCTCTACCTGTCGGCAGCTTGGGCAAGTGGTTTAATCTCTCTGATCCTCAGTTTCTGCATCTGTAAAGTGGGCATAACAGTATCCCTTTTGTAGGGATTTTTTTTCCTGGAACCAGGGATTGAACTCAGGCTCTTGCGCTTGCTGGGGAAGCGCTTACTCCACTGAGCCATCTCTGAGGCTCCTGCAGGGATGTTAATGAGGGTAGTTTGCATGTGCTGAGCATAAGTTCCTACCCCTACTAGCTGCTCCAGAAAACAGCTCTAATCCCTAGCTGCATGTTTGCCTGCCCATCCGGCTGTGAAGCTTTTGAGGGAAGAGACAGGCACTGTACCTCACCCTACACCTAGCAAGACCCGCTAGGGCCTACCTGCCAGTAGAGAGAAACCAGCATGTGTTGGTTGGCTGAATAAACATAGTAACTTCTGGCACTTTTGGGGACTGAGATGCTCTTGATGAATAGCTTTGGGAGCTATTGGTGAGTGCTGGGCTTAAGAAGGAGTGTTGGCAGAGTCAGGAGATGGAGATGGACGGGTGATGCACTGGTGACATGAAATGGATGGACATGAGTTGAAAGGAGAAGAGAGGGTGCAAGATGGAGGTGGGCTGGGATCCAGCAAATGGGTGGCTGCAGGCATAGGGAATGAGTAGCAAGTAGAGAGGTAGGTGTAGAGTGAGTAGGAGATGACAGGAGGAAATGGATGGGTGGGTGGATGGATGGATGGATGGGTGAGTAGATGGGTGGATGGATGGTTGGATGGATGGATGGGTAGATGGATGGGTGTGTGGATGGATGGATGGATGGATGGATGGATGGATGGATGGATGGGGGTGGATGGATGGATGGATGGGTGGGTGGGTGTGTGGATGGATGAGGGATGGGTGATAGATTAGCTTGGATGAAGGGAAGAGGGAGGAAAAGAAATGACTCTCCAGGCAAGTGGCATAGCCTTCTTGGCAAAGCCAACAGTACACCTGGCCAAGACCCTTCAGGCACTGTGGCAGAAAGTAGGGACTTTGGAGACAGGGTGACTTTGTAGCTCTTTATAACCTTCAAAGTGGGCAGTAACCCTCTTCATCCTGGATTCAGTGCTTCTCTTCTGCCCACCCTGTAGCCTCCTTTCCTCCTCCTGTCTCAGGTCATGCAGGGACACCACTTTTCCTGGGGTTTTCCCAGAAAGACACCTGCCAGACCAGCTCAGTGGTCGCCATCTGGCCCAGGCCTGAGAATGCTGTGGTTGAGTCATTTTGAGGTCCCACTAGGGAAAGAAAGTGACAAGTCTGCACAATGACTTTCATATTCTGGTTCCTCAAAGAGAGACTGGTGACTTGGAGAGCCCTTTCTGCTCACCCAGGGATCACTAGGCTGTCCCTTGATGACCCAGGCCATACTGTAGGCACCTACAAGCCTCCTCACAGGTGGGGTGGGCCATGGCCAAGGGGGGCCAGGGAGAGGAGGTGCCCACCTAGGGGTTCTGTGCATGTGCACGTGTGTGCCACCATTCAGGAAGGTGGAATGCATTTACACAGGTGCTTGTGCAGGATATTGCATGTTTTGGTGGAAGCTAGGGATCAGCAGGAGGCCGCCTAGGCCCTGAGACTTCATCTCTCTACCCTACTGCCCTGGAAGTCCTGGCTTCTAGATGTTAGCAAAACCCACTGAGCTCTGGCAGTTGCTGGACATAATCTTGACCCAGATCAGAGCTCAAGTGCAGCCTGGTTTGTTACATCCATCTTCCCTGTGGGTAACCAAGCACAAGACAAAATGGTGCTGCAGAGTCTGGAGGAAGGGGAGAGAAGGAAATAGAATGCAAACAACCTCAAATGTTTATATCAAATAGATGAGTTTAGTCCCCCCTTTGCTGGCCCAGGGCTTCTCTTTGGCTCCATTTGCTGAGCAGCATTTGTATACCTTGCCCACTGCACCCCGCCCCACTCCACAAGGGCCCCGCCTCTCATTTCTCTTGCACTGGGGACTCCAGATGCCTCTTCCTTCTCTCAGTCCCGTTCTGCCACGCAAAGGGAACACCTCTTCAGCAGGGCCCACCTTTTAGAAGGTGGCCACACTTACTGTACTTATACATTTTCCATTGTGTGTCATCTGCTACGTGTGCTTGGTTGTGTGTTTTTCATTATGTGCTATTGTATGTGGAATATATATGTGAATAATATGAATGAAACATATACATCTGAATAATATGAAAAAATATCTATGCGTATGTATATCAGCATGGTGGTACACATCTGTAATCCCAGCACTCAGGAGGCTGAGGCAGGAGAATTACTGTGAGTTCAAGCACAGCCTGAACTACATATTGAAATCTTGTTTCAAAAAAAAACCAACCATATACGTGCTTGTTGTCATGTGTGCACACATGCACTAGGGTGAGCACTTTAAGATGTGGATGGACAGAGGTCCGGGTGTGTCTCCAAGGCTGGGAAATCCCTGAAAGCAGAACAGCCCTGGGAGGTACATACCATCATTGTCCCTATTCATGAGAAATGAGGCCCAGCAGAGTTGGGAGGAGGAGGGGGCTGAGTCCCAGGCCTCAGAGACCAGCATGTGGGGAGTGGTTTCTGGCTCGGGTGGTATGGCTAAGACAAGCTGACATGGGATGGAAGCTAAGGGCTCTATGAACAGCCTCGTTGACTAGGGATCTCTGTGGCCTCAGGACAGCATCATGGTGTGGCGAAATGCGAGATTATTTGTGACAAGATGACCAAAGAAATTCCCAAGAGCTTGCTCCTGCACTATCATGAGAACCGGCGCTCCTGCGGCAGGCCTGCCATCATGTAAGTGCTGCCCTTGGGGCCCCTGCAATCCCCATTGGGCCCTCAGGACAATCCCAGTCCTCTGCCAGTGCATGTCTGCACCCACCCACCTCATCCTGGGCTCCTAGCCAAAGACCTTGCAAACATTCCCTTCCCTCCTGGCCGCAGGCCACCTTGCTGACTTTATTATCTGTGTTGCATGTCAAAGATGGGAAACAGCTTCCCACATGGGCCAGTGCGGTTGGGCACAGCTGCCCTGACTTGGGACCTGGGGCAGCCACCACAGGGGCTGTCTGCACTGTAGAGGCCCTCAAGCCTCTGGTCTTTGAAAGGTCTCACAAGAAGCTGGTATGTGGTAGTTTTGTAGCTCACAGTCCAGGCTCCAGCACATGTGGACAGGTTCTGGCAGCCCTGGTCACACTGCTTACCCTCCACACCTTGGCTTCCTCATCTGTAAAATGGGTAGCCAGAAGGGTGACTGGAGAAGGTGACAGCATGCTTGACCCCAGAGATCCTTGTCTCCATCAGACAGCAGAGGAAGCAGGGCCCTGTGAGACTCGAGGATTGAGCTGAGCTGTTTCCCTTGTGGCTGTTGGGGACGCTCAGCCGTCTTGGTTGCCTTCCCCTCCTAGGGCTCCTGGTGGTGACTTGACAATTTCCTGAGTGCTTGAGCAGCTTCAGCCTGACCCCAGGCCTAACAATGGAAAGTAGCCCTCAGCCCGTGGCAAACTCTGCTCTGGAAGGCCTGGGCTTCCTCTCCTCAATTGTGTAGTGTCTCCCAGGCCTGCTCCTGCTGGCCTTTCTGCTCACCAGACAAGTGTCGCTTCTACCACACACTCCCAAGCATTTGCTTCTATTTTCTAGGCGAATGGGGAAGCAGGAAAGCACTCAGGGGGCCTGCAATGTCACCCTGCCTTCCAGAACTTCTCTGGTTTTCTAGCACTTGACACACTGACTTTATCTCTTTGAGCCTCAGCTTCCTCATCTGTAAAATAGGGATGAGTGTGGCATGAAGCTCACCTGACATCAGACAATAAATGATATCTCTTCCCAAACAGGAGATGCCCAGCCTAGACCCCCTGCCTTGATGGCAACAGCGTGATTATTAACATTGTTATTTACTTATTTATTTATTTATTTTTGGCGGAATCAGGGATTGAACTCAGGCCCTTGTGCTTGCCAGGGAAGCGCTTATTCCACTGAGCCATCTTCCCAGCCCTAACATTGTTTGTTTTTTTTTTCTCCATAATTTTATTGATAAACAAATAGCAATGAGACAGTTTCAAATCAAATTGGTAGGACAGCTTCAATAATTAACACATTGCATACATTCTTCCTAGTGGTTAATTGCTGTACAAGATGTGGACATGATATCCTATTTACAAACACCATTAGAACAAATCACTCTATTCATTAAGAGAATGTAACTATATATCTATCCTAACCACTTTGAATACACAGATACAAAATGGACATACATCTGTATACCCTCTAACATTGTTATTATCTTTAGCTTTTTGCATAACACTGGCAGCTCTGGTCTGGCCTGAGTGCTTTCTTTATATAACTTTAAAAATAATAATAATAACATGGAAGTAGGATGACCAACCTGTCCCCATTTGCCTGGGACTTTCCTGATTTTGAAAGGTTAAGTCTCTCATCCAAAGGGTACCCCGTCCCACACTTGCAGGGGTGGTTGGTCGGCCCCCTCCACGTGGCAGGCATTCCTGGGTCCGGGAGCCCCGGGAGGTGGAATGGCCCCAGGCCTCAGGGTTGGGGATGGGCAGCCGGATTTCCTGTCCCCCTCTGGGGCATGTGTGCACTGCCCCTACCACACCAGCCTGGCTTTCTGCTACCTGGTCATTATGAGGCCCCTGTTTTCCTCCCTCATAGCTTGGAGACCATCAAGCAAAGACTATTCTGTGCTGACCCAAAGGAGAAATGGGTCCAAGATGTAATGCAGTACATAGACAACCAAAGTCCTGCTGTGACAACTCAGAATGGCGGCAAGTTTGAGAAGCATGTGGGGAAGCCTGAGACCGTGCCAGCCGCCTGGGAAATGGCCCAGCCTCTGCTCACAGAGCCTGAAGCCACAGGGGAAAGCATCAGTGTGGAGCCTACCACTTCTTCCCAGGGGACTCAGAATCTCATGGGGACTTCTCCAGAGTTGCTCATGAGAGCAACTGGATCTTTGGGGACCAGGACGTCCCTCACTTCCAAGGCTCAGGATGGGGAGCCTCCTGCTGGCACAGAGGTTTTCAGCACAGCTGCTGTCTCCACCACCATTGCTTGGCAGAGGTCTGCTGCCTCCCAACCTGGCGCCAGCCCCAGGGCTCAGGGCAAGGCCCCCTCTACCCCAGCTCCCTCTACCCCAGCCCCCTCCACTGAGCCCCCCTCCACTCAGACTCCCACCACTTCACACCCAACAACTGAAGGCCAACCTGGGTGGACCCAGGCACAGACCCCTACTCCCGAGAGCACTGTAGGGCCCAAGGAGATGGGCCCTGATCGTGCTCACACAGATGCTTTCCAGAACCAGGGCCCCAGCAGCGTGGGCCATCCTTCTGTGGTCCGTAGCTTCTCCCAAGGGAGCTCCAGCCAGGAGCCAGAGGGCTTAGGCAGCTTGATCCCCAAGGTTGAGGAGCCCATCCATGCCACTGTGGACCCCCAGAGGCAGGTCCTTATCACTCCTGTTCCAGACACCCAAGCAGCCACTAGGAGGCAGGCAGTGGGGCTGCTGGCCTTCCTAGGTCTGCTCTTCTGCCTGGGAGTGTCCATGTTTGCCTACCAGAGCCTCCAGGGATGCCCCCGCAAGATGGCCGGGGAGATGGTGGAGGGCCTTCGCTATGTCCCCCGGAGCTGCGGCAGTAACTCCTATGTCCTGGTGCCAGTGTGAGCTGCCCACTTGCTCATGTCCAGTTTTAATTCAGACAGCCTCCTAGGGACCCCCATCCTCATACCCACCTTCATGAGGGGCCTGGCTGAGCTGGGGTAATGGGAATGGGGAGGCGGGATCCTCCAGGTGCAGGCAGCTCCAAGACCCAGGTGTAGTCTAGGAGGTCGCCCTTGACCTTTCTCAACCTATCAGGTCCAGAGAGGGGCGGCCTCCAACTCCAAACCTGAGAACTCTCTGCTTCTGGCTGGTTAGAGGTTCCCTTGGCCACCGTCTGAACCCCTGTACACAATTATTTATTGAATGTCCAGCCCCACTCCTGGCCTGCGACTCCCTGTGAGCCCCGTGGTCCTCCCATTCCACAAGTAAGCGACAGGCCAGGCCTCCCTTGCCTGCTCCCCAGACCTCCTCACGTCCCTTGGTCCTGCTGCAGTCGCCAGTCACCCCGGCCAGCTGCGGTGCTATCTCTACATTTCTTCTGTACAGAGCCCCAACCCCCACCCCAGATTTGTGTCTTTTCTTGCATGAGGCTGGTGTGGCATTTCCGGGGTGCTCCTAGGGAAGATGCTGCATGGTGTGCAGGGAGATGAGGTCACTGGTGGCTTTGATGTCCTCCTCTGTCCTGGCTGTGCAGTGAAGGAACACAGAGTGACCAGCCCCAGCGCCACCACCCACCTAACAAGGCTGGCAGATCTGTGGCAATAACCTGCGCTCCTGGGCCACTTACTGAGACCCTCCTGCCGGGCCTCTTCAGCCAAGCACCGTGGACACTCACTGCCATCCCATCCGGCTGGCACCTGTGTGGGCTTGGGGAACCTGCAAGAGCAGAGCCAATTGTGAAGGCTCCTCCTTGTCCAGGAGCCCCAGGTCTGCCCTGACAGAGACCACTGAAAAAGCGAGAAAGGCATCAGGCCCCCAGGCAGCTGAGGCAGCCTGTGAAAGGTGCAGGGAAAGCTACGGAGCCCCTACACTTTCGGAGCTCCTGCAGCAGTGGGTTTTCTGCAGCCCGCACAGCCGTGCTCTTTCCTTCATCTGCCCTTGATGGCACCATTCACTGCTCTCCAGGATTTTGCCCTCTCTTTTGTTCCAACAAAGGTAGGGCCAGCAATGTTGATGATATTCCCTGGAGTCCTGTGTGTATTTCTGGAAGGTCTCCATCCTGGCGGAAGGGGACTTGTGGGCATAAAATGCTGGGTTCCTTTTGTAGCTGCTGAAGATGTGGGCAGAGCTGGAGGTGGCCAGCACCCCAAACCAGAGCTGGAGCTGCAGACTTTGCCCTCAGATCTCTGGTGGCAGCTTATCATTTCTTCTGATTGCCCCCAAGAGTGACCCTTGGCCTCTGTCTGCAGGTCTTCTCATTGGCTGGGCTGCACCCAGGTCTCGGTGACACAGTCTTTTGCAGGTGGCTCTTGATGAAGCAACACAGCTGTGGGCCTCAGAGAGAAAGCCCTGCTGCCTGCTCTCCTGCACTGTGCGCTTCAGGGTCTCTCTGAGGAGTGTGAGGGGAGGGCAGGTCCAAATGCACTTTGTTCTGGTTCAGGTTCTGTCAGGCCAGGAGAGCCTTCAACGGTTGGGACACCTCTCCCTTGGTAGCTCCTCCCCACAGGATGTGGACAGTGACGATCTGGAGAGGACTTTGGAAGGGGTTGGTTGATTCTTTTGCTTTTTCAACCCTCATCACCACTGTCTGTGCCATTTTGTATTTTACTAATAAAACCGAAAAGTCTTGTGAATTACATAAGTGTGCTTTCTCTGGGGCAGGCCTTAGGGTGGAGGAGGGAGGAAAGACCCCTGTCCCTAGTCTGCCTGGAGCAGAAGGGCAGCAAGTTTTACAATAGCAGGAGAAGGGACATGGCAGAAGGGAGTCAGGAGGGCTGAGCCCTTGGCCTGGCTCTGTTCTGCTTGGCTGTGTGATACTGGGCCCCCACATTTACCTCTCTGAGCCTGTGTCAATGTGGGTATGGGATTCTGATGGGACTCGGAACCCTATGTGAAGCCTACGTCACTCCCCCTGAGCTCATACAGCATGTCAGAGATCTGGCAATTTAAGGGACAAACGGGGCCACACTTTCACTGAACACTACTCATTCTGTGCAGATAAGAGTCACAATGGGATGACCTCTTCCGGGATTTGGGAGTTCACAGCCATGACCCAAATGGGAGGCTCCCCATGTCCCCCAAGCCCTCCAGTGTCCCAGGTCACCCCATATAGCATAAGAGCAGCTACACACAGTCTCCAAGGTTTGGAACAGCACAAGGTCACAGGTCAAATTTGCCTACACATCCCGATACTTTGTGGATTCTAAAATGCATGTTTTTCACATTGTGACCTGTTTTATTTTTTTTTTTATTTTTTTTTAAATATTTATTTATTTTTATTTTTATTACATTTATTTAGTGTGTGTGTGTGTGTGTGTGTGTGTGT